GAAGCCGTATAAATGTATGGAGTGTGGAAAGACCTTTGTTCAAAAAGGTCAGCTTATTTTCCATAAAAGGATCCACACAGGGGAGAAGCCGTATAAATGTATGGAGTGTGGAAAGACCTTTGCTCAAAGAGGTAATCTTAATGCCCATAATATGGTCCATGCAAGGGAGAAGCCATATAAATGTATGGAATGTGGAAAGTCCTTTGCTTATGACAGTAGCCTAAGTAGACATAAAAGGATCCACACAGGGGAGAAGCCATATAAATGCATGGAGTGTGGAAAGACCTTTGTTCAAAAAGGTCAGCTTATTTTCCATAAAAGGATCCACACAGGGGAGAAGCCGTATAAATGTATGGAGTGTGGAAAGACCTTTGCTCATATCAGTTACCTAAGCAGTCACCAAAGCGTCCACACGGGGAAGAAGCCATATAAATGTATGGAATGTGGAAAGTCCTTTGCTTATGACACTAGCCTAAGTAGACATAAAAGGATCCACACAGGGGACAAGCCACATAAATGCATGGAGTGTGGAAAGACCTTTGCTCAAAGTAGTACTCTTATTTCCCATAATAGGATCCACACAGGGGAGAAGCCATATAAATGCATGGAGTGTGGAAAGACCTTTGCTCATATCAGTTACCTAAGCAGTCACCAAAGCGTCCACACGGGGAAGAAGCCGTATAAATGCATGGAATGTGGAAAGACCTTTGCCTATGACAGTGGCCTTAGAAGACACAAAAGGATCCACACAGGAGAGAAGCCGTATAAATGCATGGAGTGCGGAAAGACCTTTGCTCGAAGTGGTACTCTTATTTCCCATAATAGGATCCACACAGGAGAGAAGCCGTATAAATGCATGGAGTGTGGAAAGACCTTTGCTCATATCGGTGACCTAAGAAATCACCAAAGGGTCCACACGGGGAAGAAGCCGTATAAATGTATGGAATGTGGAAAGACATTTGCTTATAACAGTACCCTAAGAAGTCACCAAAAAATCCACACAGGGGAGAAGCCACATAAATGCATGGAGTGCGGAAAGACCTTTGCTCAAAAATATCATCTTATTCGTCATAAGATGATCCACACAAGGGAGAAGCCGTATAAATGTATGGAGTGTGGAAAGACCTTTGCTCATAACCATGCCCTAAGAAGACACCAAAGGGTCCACACGTGGAAGAAGTCATATAAATGTATGGAATGTGGAAAGACCTTTGCTCAAAAACGTCATCTTATTTCCCATAAGAGGATCCACACAGGGGAGAAGCCGTATAAATGCATGGAGTGTGGAATGAGCTTTGCCCATAACAGTTGCCTAAGAAGACACAAAAGGATCCACACAGGAGAGAAGCCGTATAAATGCATGGAGTGTGGAAAGACCTTTGCTCAAAGCGGTGATCTTATTTCCCATAATATGATCCACACAGGGGAGAAGCCGTATAAATGCATGGAGTGTGGAAAGACCTTTGCTCGAAAAGGTAAACTTATTTCCCATAATGTTATCCACACAGGGGAGAAGCCGTATAAATGCATGGAGTGTGAAAAGACCTTTGCTCGAAAAAGTCAACTTATTTCCCATAAAAGGATCCACACAGGGGAGGAGCCGTATAAATGCATGGAGTGTGCAAAGACCTTTGCTCATAACAGTGCCCTAAGAAGACACCAAAGGATCCATATGGGGAAGAAGCCATATAAATGTATGGAGTGTGGAAAGACCTTTGCTCATAACGATGCCCTAAGAAGACACCAAAGGATCCATACAGGGGAGAAGCCATATAAATGTATGGAGTGTGGAAAGACATTTGCTCACAACCATGTCCTAAAAGGACACCAAAGGATCCACACGGGGGAGAAGCCGTATAAATGCATGGAGTGTGGAAAGACCTTTGCTCGAAGTGGTGATCTTATTGCCCATAATAGGATCCACACAGGGGAGAAGCCNTTGCTCAGTTTTCTTCCCAGTTATATGCCGGTATTGTTGCTGGTCTGGTGGAAGCCCTTGAGGCAGGTTTTTGCTCTGTTGTCTGGAACGATTTGACCATGTCGCTCCTTAGGAAGTAGACAGGATGCTAAGGAGTATGCATAGAAGAACCTGTGTTTTAGATTCATGTCCCTCCTGGCTTGTGAAAGCTTCCTGAGTGGTGACAGGTGGGTGGACTGGTGGTCATTTATTCTTTCCTACAGAAGGGGGGTAGTGCCCTAGCACTTTAAGGAGGCTGTGCCCCTTAAAATGTAGGGGGGATAGGGATAGTGCATCCATCCTTGCTCTACCTGACTTCTCGGCAGCTTGTGATACCATCGACCATGGTATTCTCCTGGGGTGGTTTTGGGGGATGGGAAAGGAAGTCTTGTCCTATCCCAAACAGATCCTGTGCATAATATGGGGGTTCTCCTGGACTCACGACTCCTGCTTGAAGGGCAGCTGACAGTCATGGCCAGGAGGGCTTTTACGCAACTACGGGTTGTGCGTCAGTTACGCCCCTTCCTGGACCAACAATCACTACTCACAGTTACTCATGCCCCAGTCACTTCCTGTGTTGACTATTGTAACATGCTCTACATGGGGATACCTATGAAGAGCATCTGAAAATTCCAGTTGTTGCAAAACACAGCAGCCCGCATGATTTTGTGCAGACTCCAGTTTACACATATATGACCTCTCCTGCAGGAGCTGCACTGGCTGCCCATTTGCTTCTGGGTGCAATTCAAGGTTCTGGTTGTAATCTTTAAAGCCCTTCATGGCTTAGGACCAAATTATCTAACGGATCATCTCCTACCGGTTATATCTACCCGATGGAGTCAGGGAATGTTACATGCCCCATCCTCTAAGGAGATACACCTGGTGAGATCCAGAAGGGCCTTCTCCGTGGGGGCTCCCTCTCTGTAGAACACCATCTCCCCAGAAATTAGAATGGCCCCCACTCTAGCACTCTTCCGGAAGGTGTTGAAAACCTGGTTCTGCCAGTGGGCCTGGAGTATCAAGAGCGGAATAGAGGGCATTATTTGGCTCCTGTGAGGTGCTGTCGTGCAGGGGGGGGTAGAGTGGTTTTATTATTTTAATGTTATATAATTCTCCCTTTATTAGTTTTGTTGTTTTAATATAGGTTTTATATTTTCTAAGCCGCCTTGAGTCACCATGTGCAAATAAGCGGCATATAAGTTGTCTAAAATAATTACATAAAATAAATACTTTGTTAATTACTTATTTTGAAATTATTTATTCCTTACAGAGAAACAAAGAATGAAATTTCCTGGTTTTTTTGATGCCGATCAAACAGCGGTTGAACCTTTAAATCACGTAAGAAAGTTATTAGGTTTGCAGTCTCACCTTCAGGAAGTGAAGTGGGTGTGCAGAGTGCTCTTTCCTTCTCCCCCCCCCCTTCTTTCCCCCTCCTTGTTTGGACTGGATTATTTTTCTGTCCTTCCACAAAATGGAAAGCGGAATGGCAGGTTGAAGTGGCTGTCAGCCAATATCGCTTCCTCTGGTTATCTTGTTCTGCTTGGTGCTCTTCCAATGTTGTGTTTACAGAAGCACTTCTTTTAAAGTCCTTCCGGAATTAGGAATAAACGTATCACATTGGCAGGAACTGCTAGACCCCCGTTCTTTTTGTGATTTATTAACATCATATGGTACAGATTAACAGTTGGAAGGGCCTTGTAGATCATCTAGTCCAACCCCCTTCACCATTTCTGACTGTTGGCAGTTTAGTATCTTCTTGAAAGCTGCCAGTAATGAAACTCCCACAGCTTTTGAAGGAAACTAAGATTCCTCCCTATCCTGTTATCTAAATTACTGACGAAGTTGACCAGATCTTGCTAATCTGAGAGCTGAGGTGGTGCAGTGGTTAAGGTGCAGTACTACAGGCCACTTCAGCTGACTGTTATCTGCAGTTCAGCGGTT